GAAACAGCAGGGGCTCAGCTCCTGATGGCAATGAAAGGGAGCAGACTTTAACCGCGATGGGACAGCTCGTGTGAGTGGGTCACCCGGCTCCGTGTCCCCACAACGCAACCACACACAAACCACCGCCGCAGGAAGCTGCCATCCCACAGCGGATTAAGTGTAGGGTGAGGAAGTTATCTGTGCATTTGAATTTTACAGGATTTCATAATATTTAAAGAAACTGAGAAGAACTTCTAATTTTTTATATATATAAATATGCAGATGTATATATTTTTCCAAGCAGAATCACAGCCATGCCCACCCCGAGCAAAGCACAGCACATCTCGGTTGACGTCCCAGACAGCAACAGAAAGCACCACGCGCAGGGACTCTGAACATCACAGAACCACAGCAGTGAAACGTGGATGCAAAACATGTTTTCTCTGGTTCACGTGCTGGTGAGTACCACGATGAACTCAAAAAAAAAAAATATATAGACAAAGAAGAGAATTTTATGAACTTCTCAATGCAAACTGGCCCGTTCCACTGCTGGATCCATTATCTATAGTGTGAGTAAGCTCAATAATTCGATGTGGCTGCACAAGTATAAATAATCCTGGACTTTAATACGCCATTGGTAAACAAAGAAACATAATTTTCTGTCAGATCACTGGGGTCTTGGTATGATATACATCAGTTCGTGCATTGACTGCTGTTCTGCAGCCCCCCATCTTTCCAGGCTCTGAAAAGAATTGAAGAAGAAACTAAAGAAGGCTGAAGGTCCAGGTTGGCAAAACTGAAGGCACAACATAGGCAGCTGGGTGAACAAGAGGGGCAACCGAAGCTTTCCATCGGCTGCTCACAGGGTTACAAAGCTTTGCTGTTCCACCAGACACCATCGAATCCTTGGGACTCAATCTTCAGAGACATCCCCTCTGCTCTGCCCTGGTGAGGCCCCGTCTGCAGTGCTGGGTCCAGTGCTGGGCTCCCCAGTTCAAGAAAGATGAGGAGCTACTGGAGAGAGTCCAGCGCAGGGCTACGAGGATGAGGAGGGGACTGGAGCATCTCTCCTACGAGGAGAGGCTGAGGGAGCTGGGCTTGTTCAGCCTGGAGAAGAGAAGGCTGGGAGGGGACCTTAGAAATGCCTCTAAATATCTGCAGGGTGGGGGTGAGGAGGACGGGGCCAGACTCTTTCCAGTGGTGCCCAGCGACAGGACAAGGGGCAACGGGCACAAACTGAAGCAGAGGAAGCTCCAGCTGAACCCGAGGAAGAACTTCTTCCCTCTGAGGGTGACGGAGCCCTGGCCCAGGCTGCCCAGGGAGGCTGTGGAGTCTCCTTCTCTGGAGATATTCCCGCCCCACCTGGCCGCGGTGCTGTGCCCCCTGCTGTGGGTGACCCTGCTTGGGCAGGGGGTTGGGCTGGGGGACCCACAGAGGGCCCTGCCAACCCTGACCATGCCGGGATTCTGTGATTTAGGCATCAGCCAAGGCGTCACCAACTGCCCCGCTCCCTGTTCAGGCTTGTCCCACCCTGTGCTTTAGTCTCCTCCTACGTGGACAGCAGGACTAAAATATCCAGTACCTCGTGGCAATAAAACACAGAATTAAAGAACCACTGGGTGTTTTAAACAGGAACGCTTGTACAGTCTTGCAATTAGAGCTCCTCGACACAGACATAACAGTTACCATAGCAACATAATGCAGATTTTATTTAATTAGAGCTAAATCCTTTTATATAATTTCATTAGTATGCTAAGTGAGGCACTCTGTTGGGCTAAGCAACGACAACTCCAAACTCTTCTCGTGCTCAGCACCTCGGGCTCGGCAGCCCAGTGACACCACGTCAGCTCGGGTGCTGCCAAGGAGCACGCTGCTGTCCCAGAACGGGAGCGCGCACCGAAACCGCAACGCCCACCGCGAACGCGTGCACGGAGCGAGCCGGGAGCTGCCCACCGGACAGGACAGTGCGGAGCACGCGCCGTGCTCCGTGCGCTTCAGGCCACGCTCTGTGCCCGCGCACCCGCACCGCG